CTTTTATAGGTCATGTAAATGTTCCATTAAATTCTAAACTTTTTTTGGTGGAAAATATTAATATGTTTGATATTTTATGAGAGATGAATGTATCAGCATCAAAATAAAAAAGATTGCGCAGCCATAGTGATTGGCAGTATGTAGTGCGCATTGAGAAAAGAAGGTGCTCTCCATTTCGTCATGTTCAATTTTTTGGTCAACTATGCACGTTGAAAATTTGATGGCGGGGAACACATGGGACTTCAAAGGCATCGCGCAAACGTTCTTTACGCGCTGCGGCAACTTTGATCTTGGTTCATTTGCATAGCACTGCGTGCGCGTAGCTTTGCCGAGTGATCTCCTTCTCAATAATACCTCCATGGTATGATGCACTTGTTGGGTAGATAGCGCCCTCTGGTGGACAAGTATTGTGCACCCCAACCCAAATCGATTTAATTTTAATGTGAGAATGAAGGAGAGCGATAGGACGCAAGGAGGAGAATTGTAGCGGTTTAAAATATAATGTTCTCGTGAGTGATACGTCGTCGTAAAAGTCAACACGTACATAACTTCAACTTTTGACATCTGATGGTTTAATAGGTAGGTGACACAATACGCTATTATTTAGGGGCTTATTTATGGGTGGTTAGAGTACTGACACTCTATGATGTAGCCTATTCTACTTTTGTTTTTATACCATTTCCCCAGTGCGTATTTTTTGTTGTCAGACCATCAGACTAGGGCTAGTTGTTGTGGACTACTGAGCACAACCACCTAGGTTAGGCCCTAGCTAGGCGAATACCAGCTAGGCTAGGCAGCCTAGAGGTACTTTTATATTTAGGGCCTGGGCATAAGCTATGGGCTATGCTAGGTAGGTCCTCCTAGTAGTAGGACAAGGAACGCATCTTTCTGCATGCATTGTTGTACCCTCTCTAAAACTCTAACCTGCCGCCCTGTGGTGTTATTAATTATAGACCTAGCCGCCGAAGGAGCAAAGCTCCGGGGACAGGTTTTTTTTTTTTGTAGGCCATGTTTTTCCTCATATATGTTGAATTTTCCTAATTTTAATTATTTATTCATGTCGTTGACTGTTGTCTTGATTGCCATCCTACCTATTTTAGGTAGTAAATTGTTTGTTGCCACGGCTAACGCTTGGTTGGTAAGTCCAATTGGTTTCAAACTTCACAGAATTTGCAAGATGTAAGAAGACAGAGCATTGTTTTTGGTGAATTTTTGGAGATATGCTAGGCCTAGTTATTTACATAATTATTACTTTTTATTTAACAGATATTTACATTCTGTATATCAGTGCCACCATAAATTCCCATTAATATACATGAAAATTGTAAAATTTGATGTGTTTTAAAATGTACAAAATCTGTGATTCATTTCTCAAATGAATTGAACAGGTTATTATTATTTTCAAACACTAAAAATTCTACACTATCGCCTGTAGACTTTGTTTTGAGAAGGAATGCCTAATCAAAAAACTAACCTCCAAATTGCCCCATAAATAATATACCAATTCAAATTTCCCAGTCCACAGCATTTATTTTCCCCACAAATCAATGCCTTTGGCCTACCCCCTCCCCCATGACTAGCAAGTGTTTTGAGTAAAAATGGTCCAAAATATCAACAACTATACAACAAGCAACACTATTCATCCACAGTTATGTCTTTGCCTACCATACCAATACGATAAAGGGGGGGGAAAAATTATTAATTTATGACTAATAATTTTGTTTTTAAATCACTTGTTTGTATTTTGTGTATAAAAAACTGTAATATCAGCCAAAAACAAAAACCTAAAAAATTCAATTGAAATAAACACAGATCATTGGGTCTGAAAAAAGGATAACTGCAGGCCTGGAAAAAATGAGTTGTAGTAGTAGTAGTGCCTCTAACCATGGAAGTTGTCAATTGATAAAATGACTCCAGCACCAAACGTAATCTATACTATAATAGGCATAGCCTAATACAGTAGTTTATTTTTTTGAATTGTTTCTCCCAAAATACCTACCGCCAGCCCTTAGGAACTGTGTTAAATAATTTCTGAGAAAAAAAAAAACAAAAACAAAAAAAAAACAAAAACAAAACCATTTTTTTTTTACAAAGAATGAGCCTAAATTTCTTTAGAATTTTTGAAATGGCTAATTTTCTTTACTTTCATGAATAATTTTGAATCTACCAATGAGTTTTTTTAACCAGTTACTATTTACCTTAACGAAAATACATTCAGGTGTTTAGCCAAAACTCACTTCCAAATTAATGCCACTGTAACTGAAAAAATTGAAACAAATTTGCCTATTCTCAAAGTCAACTATAAGAACTGCAGACTAGAAAATATAAGAAGTTGATTTAAACATTTAAACAATGTTATCTTATTTTATAGATATTCATGTTTTTTGTTTTTGTTTTTTGTTTTTTTTTTTGGTTTTTGAGCCTGGGATAAGCTTTAAGGTCGCATACTAAATGTGTGTATTAAAGACTTCCTCATTATTTGAGTTTAAATAAGAATAACACTGATCATTGGGGTATTTTTGGCCAATTTGTAAAATTTTTGATACTTAATAGATAAATGTGAGCTGTTGTGACAAAATGAATCTTGTGGTACGAAAAATGAATCTTGTGGTACAAAAAATGAAAAATGAGTTATTGATGTATTTAAATAAATTACTATATAAGCTTTATTTTGGTCTTTGAATCATATTCCTAGGTTGAGTAAAACCAGAGTAAGATCATTTTAAAGTTTGTCTAAAAATATATTACAAGAATATCGCCTCTAAAGATTAACAACTGAGAAATTTTGTGTTGGTTTTCCTATCAATCCTGAAAGATAGCTTTACAAAATGTGCCTCAAAAACATGATTTTCTTTAAGCAAAATCAACTCAAAACATGAGAGCATAATTAAACCATGCTTATTATAGTTCAAGTGTTTGTTGGCAAACAAATTTGCTGTATCTTATGTTTGAGAGTAAATGTTTGTTTTGATATCAGGAAATCAGATAATTGTATTTCAGAAACACTCAGGGATACTGCACAGTAGTTTATGATTCTCTAATTGCAGACAATGTGTTCATACAATCAGTTTTTCTCCTATCTGCCAGGCATTTCATAAAAGTTTTAATAGTTGGCTGATAATGGAGCCTAGAGGATGCATCAACAAAACTGCTTGCCCCTCCTGCAACATACAGCACTACAGAGTATGTACAATTCACAAAAAGAGCACAACAACAATTTTTCCCAATTTTGAATTCAAACATCCAACCGTTCCCAAATGTGTTCATCAGACTGACACCCCTTCAATTTCTTCGAAAAATCAATTTTGTTTTCCTTAGAGCCTGTATAAAAATTGTAGCACCTTATATCAAACTTGTCTGCACATCTGGAGCAAATGCAGGATTTGGCGGTTGTGGGTGCGTAAGGATCCACCTCATCGTTCCCCCCCCCCCACCGTGGTTGGGGGCTAAGGAAATAGAAAATTTTGAGAATAGGGACCTCTCAGGCATTGATTCAGAGTTTTAGCTTGGTTTCCAAGAATCGCTCACCCTATAGCAGACTGTCTTGACAGTTGTGGTTCACAAATGAATCAGGGTGCCTTCCCGATTGCGCAGGGCAGCTAGCAATGCACCCTAATTCGTCTGCGTATGTAGCGTAATCGGAAAAGTTGAACCAGGTTCAAACTTCCCGACAACTGTCGACAACTGTCGACGACTGTCGTCGATAGGAAACCAAGCTTTACCCTGATTATCGCACATAATGGGGTCCCTGAGTGGGCAGGGTCGTGGGAAGAGAATGTAATGTTTGCTTGTTCCGTCACTGGAAGACTATTTTAGACCTGTCTCTTATGGGGGTGTGGTTTGTGGTAGCCTTGCGGTTCTCCTAGCTTTGGAAAGTTTTGTTTTTTCTAGATGCTGAGAAATGCACTTACCTGTACGTGCATTACAAGACTTCTATTGATGAATAATTACACACTGAATTAATAGATATCCCCCATTTTAGCATGGACAATTAATTGCGATGATGAAGATGATGATGATGATGTGATGATGATAAGGAGGAGGAAGAGTCATTGTACTGCAGGTGACAACAGGCTCCTGTGCAAGGTTAATTAACAGGCCCTTTTATATGAGTGGCAACCGAGGCCCGTATCCCGAGTTCGTTGTCACATTTTCAATGCACAAAATTGGACAACAGTAATTATCTATAAGTTATATAATCAGTACATTCTCCACTGTCATGAAAATATCATATCTAAAAAATTATGTTATATGCATGCTCAGAAGCGGAAAGTTTAACCTAGAAGTTTGATATGTTTCATGTTGTTTGTTGAATGGTCTTTAATGATATTATATTCTAATATGATCACAACAAAAGGTAGAACACAGTGCCTGGTTCACGTCGAACTTTATTTAGATATACCCGTCTTGAAACATGATACGATAATCCCCTAATTGCGTTCGATACCAAGTTAGAGCCAGATAAACAACCAGCTAGTTGTTGCGGACTACTGAGCACAACCACCTAGGTTAGGGCCTAGCTAGGCTAGGCAGCCTAGAGGGACTTTTATATTTAGGGCCTGGGCATAAGCTATGTGCTATGCTAGGTAGGTCCTAGGACAAGGAACGCATCTTTCTGCATGCATTGTGTTACCCTCTCTAAAACTCTAACCTGCCGCCCTGTGGTGTTATTAATTATATACCTACTAGGTAACCTAGCCGCCGAAGGAGCAAAGCCCTGGGGACAGGTTTTTTTTTTTTTTTGTAGGCCATGTTTTTCCTCATATATGTTGAATTTTCCTAATTTTAATTATTTATTCATGTCGTTGACTGTTGTCTTGATTGCCATCCTACCTATTTTAGGTAGTAAATTGTTTGTTGCCACGGCTAACGCTTGCTTGTTAAGTCCAATTGGTTTCAAACTTCACAGAATTTGCAAGATGTAAGAAGACAGAGCATTGTTTTTGGTGAATTTTTGGAGATATGCTAGGCCTAGTTATTTACATAATTATTACTTTTTATTTAACAGTATATTTACATTTTGTATACCAGTGCCACCATAAATTCCCATTAATATACATGAAAATTGTAAAATTTGATGTGTTTTAAAATGTACAAAATCTGTGATTCATTTCTCAAATGAATTGAACAGGTTATTATTATTTTAAAACACTAAAAATTCTACACTATCGCCTGTAGACTTTGTTTTGAGAAGGAATGCCCAATCAAAAAACTAACCTCCAAAATGCCCCATAAATAATATACCAATTCAAATTCCCCAGTCCACAGCATTTATTTTCCCCACAAATCAATGCCTTTGGCCTACCCCCTCCCCCATGACTAGCAAGTGTTTTGAGTATAAAAATGGTCCAAAATATCAAAACTATACAACAAGCAACACTATTCATCCACAGTTATGCCTTTGCCTACCATACCAATACGATAAAGGGGGGAAAAATTATTAATTTATGACTAATAATTTTGTTTTTAAATCACTTGTTTGTATTTTGTGTATAAAAAACTGTAATATCAGCCAAAAACAAAAACCTAAAAAATTCAATTGAAATAAACACAGATCATTGGGTCTGAAAAAAGAATAA